AAACAAATATCCACCCCACCCCCTTCCCCAACTTCATCTCTCTCATTCTCACCATGTCCTCTTACTCTCCATTTCCGACAAACACGAAACAACACCACCACCGGTCAAACCCTAAACCCATTGAAATCGACTTTCATCCCAAGCACTAATACCGACATCCCTTTCACCTCCCCCGACCACCATAAGGAATGTGATGGAAGTGCACAGGTGACGATAACGCCCTTACAACAACCACCCCCATCATCAAAAGCAAAAATTTTCACCATTAAACGAAACCCAGATGATCCTATTTGATGTAAAACCAAATCTTTTTAACCCACAATTTCCATTTGAGCACTTGATTCAAGTCCAACTCCAAACCCACTTCAGTTGATCAAAGCAACGACTTTTCACATCACCGATTTACCTTTTTTTAATCACCTGATTCACGCCCTTCAATCGTATCCGAAACCCTATGCTGCACTTCTTTATCATTCACCACCACCAATATCGTATCCCTAAATCATTCACCACCACCAATCCTACCGGTTCGTTATCTCACAGAAGGGGAATTTTCATAAATCGAGACCGAACCATTTGAAATCGAAGAAGAAGGGGGTGTATGGTTCTTTCTTTTCTAACCTATTTGAGATTTCAAAAATGAAAATCCATTAAGGGGAAACTTGACTGGAAAGATGGTGGTGGTATAATGGATGTCGAAAGAGAAGAAGATCATGTTGGTGGCAGCACTGAAAGGCCCGTCGAAGCTTGCAGATCGGAGATAAGACACAGTGAGAGAGGAGAGCAGGTGTTGAAGAAGAATAACGAATGAGAGAGAGTTATCGGAGGTGGTGTAATGTAACTGAGATAGGTAGAGAGGGAGCTTGCAGTGATGGTGAGCAGGGCAGCAGGAGACGATGATGGTGGTGTGCGGTGGCGACAACGATGGTTTTTTCTGTGTGTGTTTTTAGCTCCAACGATAGTGGCATGTAAGTGTTGACGACAATGGTATTCTTTCACCGGAGATGGAAAGAACTGAGAGTGATAGTACCTCAATACTTGTGAGGAAGAGAGGTGGTGATTTACAGGAGATACGAAGAAGAAGAAGAAGAAGTGGGTATATGATATGGGGCCATTTATTTAATGATTTTTTAAATATAATTAATAATAATAATAATCTAAAAATAAATCAAAAATAAATAGAAAAGGGAAAAATAGACATTTTATGTTTGGTAAATGATTTTAGGGACGAAACGTGCAAATTTTAACGATGCGAGGGACGATCCGAGTTAATTTTTGAAAATAGGGACTAAACGTGCTTTTTAGCACTTGCACAAGGGACGAATTGCGTAATTTACTCTTTTTTAAATTCAGGCTTGATTTTCTCAACATTTCCAGTAGTTACGAAAACTTGGTTTGGAAAAACAGTTTTATCAGTGCATGTAAAATTCGGATAGACAACCGTGTTGATTTCCATGTAGTGTGCACCTTTGTCATTATGAACTTGGTTGAATTCCTTTGTGTCACCATACACTTGTTTAAGAACAACGCGTGTAGGTGATGTTTCAGTCGAAACATTCTTCTCTTTTTTACATTCACACAAACTTTTCACTTTTTCTTCGTCATCATCAGTGTCATCTATTTGGCTACTTCGAACTTCCACATCATCAAAGTCAAAAAGTTGCGAAGTTGATGGTTTGTCAGTGTCAACCTTCACTATCGAATCAACTAAAATTTCTTTACCTTTGACCTTAGACGTTATATTAATTACAGACAGTTTAGAACAATCAATCTCTTCTTCCTCCTCGCTTTCACTAATTTCACTCACATTATCTGAATTATCATCGACATCATCATAATTGAGTTGAGAATCAAGAGTCGAAGTCTCAGTTTTCTTTAAAATCATAATTTGTTCATTCTTCGTTAAACTATCATTTACAAAATCAACCAATTCATCAGTATTTAGAAATTCATCAATTTTGACAATGCAATATGCAAATCTATCATTAGGTATTTTGTCAAACTGAGCAATAGTATCTTCAAAATCATATGATATAACATCAACTTTTTCACGTTCATAAGCAAGAAAAGGTAGTAATTTTCTATGTTGTTCTTTGCTTATTTCGGATGAATGATGTAAAGCAGTTAACTTTGCATATAGTCTCTTAGCTGAATTACAATAGATGTTTCGTTGAGCTAACAACAATCTAACATCTCTACCTAGACTATCCCTATCACAATTGACATTTTTTATCTGTAGTTCAGGATAATCTACATTGCTTCGTTTTATGTCTAACTGTCTTTGTGTCTCAACTAGTTGTGTTTTTAAAATTTGAGCCTGAGTACTAGCAGACACAATATCAGCATCAAAAATAAGCAACAGTATCATCGCAAGCAGTTATTTCAGCATCATAAGCAATTAAAGGAATATTAAAAGATTCAAGAATAGCACGTACCTTGGTGGTCATAGGAGACTTATCAGTGGATTTGGACATGAAGCAATGTCCAGAGATTTCTTCTTCTTCTTCGCTATTCTTTTCGAAACTAGTGAACATTGCACCATGTGTAGGGTGCCTCATTTTTTCATCATCTGAACCCGAAGACCAGATTTCGTAGGTTCCACTTTCATCTTCGTCTATCTCTCCCTTAGCAACCAAAGATAACCCTTTTGCTTTTGCACGAACTTCCTCAAGCTTTTCAGCATAGTAAGCTTCGTCATTGACTTTAGATTTCTTTTCATCCTTCTTCCTTAACATGCAGTCACCTGCGAAGTGGTTAGCTCCATTACAGTAATGACAATTGACTCCTGAGTCACCTTTCAGCTTTTTCTCTGCCTTTGATTCCTTTACATTTTCATCCACCTTTTCATACTTCTCATACTTCTTCTTCTTCTCACCTCCAGCCTTTACCCCAGCTTTTACAAAACCACTCTTCGCATCTCCTTGCATACCTTTTGGTTCGAATGGATTCTTAAAAAAAAATCTTTACTTTGTTGTTTGAGTAAAATGCAACTGCCTCATCATCAAATTCATCAAGAAACCCTCATCATCCGAGCCTTCATTTTCAACAGACTCAACTTCATTCATTTTCGACACCAACGCTAGTGGTCCACCCAAACTTTGTTTCGACTCTTCTAACATTTCAACCACTTCGTCTTCGTGTGTTTTCAGCTGATTGTTAAATCATTCAAACTCGAAGTATCAAAGCTCTGTTGATTCTTTATCATCATGCTCACACTTTGCCATTCATTGCGAAGCCCCATGATAAATGTAAGATTGAATTCCATAAGAGACCTTGTGATTCCGTATCTGCTGCATCAATAAATGAGTTCATTCAGACGATCATAGTAATTTCCAATCGTCTTAGCATCCTTCTGTCTGAACTCCTTAAGCTCAACAAGACATTGTTTAACAGAAGTGATCTTTGTCTTTTTACTACCTTGGTATTTTTCTTTCAGTGTGATCCAGATTTCTTTTGCTGTTTTACAATCACGAATGTAGTTGTAAACCACAGGTGGTAATGCACCTCTCAGCTCTCGCATACATCTATTCTCATTCTTTTTCATATGATCACATTGATTACTGACTTGATTTGAATTTCCAGAGGCTCCTAATGTTTGAACATTCGCAGGAGGTAGAACTGATCCATTGATACAGTTCCAGAGCTCCTCATCAATCCCATTCAGATAATCTTCCATTCTGTCGGCCCATTGATCAGAATATTTAGGAATCAACATCGGAATTTTAGTAGATGAACCAAGCAAATGATAGTATGAGGTAATAGTGTTCATGTTAAAGTTTGCCATTGTTGATCACGAGGATTTTGATGAAAAAACTTGATGAATTTGTGAATTGATCAAATAAATTGATCATAAATTGCTAATCGATTACTCGACTAAATAATCCAGACGCAGAATTGATTCAAATCTGAAGATCAAGAGAGATTTTCAGAACCAAAAGCACGGAAATATTTTGAATAAACTCGTAATTCAAAATGCAAATGATTCTATAATGAAAATCAAATCAATGCAGTTTGAATCCTACTCTGATACCAATTGTCGATAATTGTTATCGAGATTTAGAAAGCAATCATGATTTAGATGAATGAGTAATGAAGATATGAACACCAAATGTAAATATTAATCAGCAAGTTTGTATTGAACAAAGAATTCAAATACAATATTGATTACAAAAATAAGCAGAAAGACTCGTGTCTCTACTTCTATCCTCAGCCCCTATTTATAGGAAACATGAGTGTACAAAAAATACTAAGTCTAGACATTAGGCTTCGACATAAAATGACTTAGTAAATAAAACATGCGAAATAAAATAGAAAAAGCTTCAACTTTTACAACAAAATGACTCAACATCATCGCATCTACCTCAACAACAAATCTGCGAATCAGAGTTCATAGAAAGAGTACAAGTGGAATGACATTCTACCTCAACAACAATCTGATGTCAAAGCGTTTGGTTACGGGCACTACTCAGTCATCTAACCAAATGTCAAGTTGACCTGGTTGTTCTTTATGTAGACAACAAATCTACGATTTCATTGATGAAAAACCCCGTTTTTCACGGGAGAATCAAGAACATTGAAGCTCGTTTCCATTTCATATGTGAATGTGTGGAGGAAGGAAAGATCATCGTGAAGTATGTCAGGTCTAAAGAACAACGTGCAGATGTCTTAACAAAAGCAATTGCAAGGGTCAAATTCAATGAAATGAAGGAACTTTTGGGAGTCAAAGACATTGGAAATGCAATTTCGGATTAAGGGGGAGCATGTTAGACTTTAATCCAAACTTGCAACAGAAGACTTGGTCATTTACTTTTCCTAGTCTGTTAGTTTTATTTGATTAGTCATCAGTATATTTAGGAGTCAATAAGTAACCCGTTGGTTATTGAAATAATGGTAGTCGTGGTCCTAGTTTATTGGAAGTCTTTTATTATTTAAAGAGTTGTATGTTGCAGTCTTTTCATCAGTTGAATACAACAGAAAATTGCCCCAAAATACCCTTGCAATTAATCCTCTGTTCTACTCTGTTCTTCCTTTCTTTTCACAGCAATCACATCACCTTGCTTACAGAGACTCAAACTTTCGTCATCATTCTTCTCAATACCATCAACACATAACAACTTCGCACCAATAACTGCATTTTCGTCAGGAATCATTGTGGTTTGGCTTGATTTCTGATCAATCAAATCGGTATTGACCTCTTTTGTTTGATTGTATTCAACAACACTAAGGCTGATAGATTCCGTCATTAGCTTAAAATCATCGTATTCAGCTTTTTCAATACCACCAAACTCTTCCTTCGATGAGTGCACCACCGATCCAACGTCATTGAAGCGTATAATCTTTGCATCATGATTATTCTTAAACACTACTTGTTTCTTTTCCAATGGCATGCCAATGCCATGGTGTGGTGGGGCAGTGGAGTTATTAATATAATCATACAACTTCAGTAATGGTAGTAAGGCTGGAGGGAGTGGCTTGCCGGCCATGCTCGCCTCCAGCTTGCTAAGAGTGCTAAACCCATTAATTCCCAACAAATGTGCCAAAGTCTTCGCCAAAACAAAGTCGCCAGCCTCTTAGCATGAGGAAAGAGAAAGAGATTAGGAAATAAATGTCCCTGATTGGTTAATTTTATTTTTCTGTTCTTTTTTTTTTCAAAATATAAATAACAAAAGATTAAATACTACCACTCCCTACCTTTTTGTTACCACTATTTTCATCCTACATGGCTCAGAAAAATCTTATGTGGCCTTAAAAAATTCTATATGGCAACTGCTAAAGATGTTACCACTCCCTTCAGCCTAATGGTACAGAGGTGGGAAAATGTTTTTACTTTCGAATGTTAGGATTTAATTGAAAAACATAAAACTAGCGTGAGATGGTGTTGGCGTTAACCATAAGAACCATCCAAGGGACCAATGTTGATAAAGTAAAAATTTAAGGGTTGAACTCAATGTTTTTAGAAACCACATGATTATTTATAAAGTTTTTCCTAATTATAATATGATAAAAGAATAACAGAAATAATCTTAAGAACAATCGGATAATTTTAGTAATTGGTTTAATTGTGTTCCAATCAAATCAAACATTATATAACTAATTAATTTAGTTATATCCAATTGCATTCGGTTCCATCTAATCCAATTATGTCCGGTACAATAATATTTGACGACCGCTACCTAAAGATACTCTTTAACATTTGGTGCTACAACCAATTATAAAAAATAATTCAAATATGATAACATAGTAGTTTATAATATGAAACACAGTTACCCAACTAAACTTTCATAATAGAAACTCAAAATTATTAATCAATTATTTTAAATAAATTATTAATTAAGAGATTTTTTCTAGTTATATAAAATTTTAATCGTTGATTTAAATAAATACATGAAATCATATCATCTTATAATATGTATTAATTTTTATTCTAAGTTAAATTTAATTTGATGTAATTATAGTGTGAAATTTTAAATAGAGAATCAATAGGTTGACCGGTGGTATGACATTAATTAAAACATTATTGATTTGAAATTTCATCCTCTGTTTGGATATAATCTTGACTAGAGTTCTATCGCAGTGTTCGATGCGGTAAAGTGATAGGAGCACGATTCAAAATCAAACTAAAATCTTCTAAAAACGGACAAAATCTCAAAAAATCATGAAGAAGCGTGAAGACGATCGGATCATTGCGTCGCCATATTGCTTGTTTCTTGAAATCCTCTCTCGTTCACCCCTTGCAAAACGCTCCATTAGAGCAGGTACACTCTCCAAAAGATGGAACCCTCTTTGGACTTTGGTTCCTACTTTAATTTTTATACATGACGGGAGTCACACATGACCCGATTTCTCGTTTTTCGTGGACAACACCCTAACTCAATGTCGACAATTGAAGCTTAAGAAATTCCAGGTGTATGCCCGTTATTCTAGAGGTTCTGTTGGATTTGAATCGCATATCAACAATTGGATTCGTTATGCCCTAAGATCTAATGTTGTAGAGCTTTATTTAAGGTTACCTATTGAGAAAGCAAAATTTTTGATAGATCAAACTTTCTTGATCAACACATGTTTTACTGGTCTGAAATTAAAAGATGTGTAAATTGCACAAAAAACACTCTTTTTACACAGAAATTCGATTTTGACACCGTGTTTATTTTTGTCAATTTTGACACTGTGTTTTCCAGTTTGTTACAATTCTGGCCACTTGACCGGTTAACCAGGTTACATGCTAATGTGGCATGATGACATGTCAGTTTTGATGACGTGGCATGTTGACATGATATGCTGACGTGTCAAAATTGATTTTTTTTTCCACAAAAAACACTAAATTTTCACTTTTTTTCGATTTTGACACTAAGTTTAATTTTTTATTTCAATTTTCACACTATGTTTTTTTGTTCCAATCAAACATCATTTATCAAATTTTGTTCAATTTTGTCTATTTTCCATTTGAAACCGTATAAAAATATATTTTTTATTACATTTTAAACCGTATAAACATATTTTTTCATTTAAAAACCACATTTTTATTTAAATACAAGGTGTTTTTTTCTTACATTCAAAGCATTAGTTATATCATGAGAATCAAACTAACCATAAGCTTCTAATACGA